TCTGCTCTACTCTGAAGGGAGCTCCATTACCAGGACCCCTGGCGGTCACAGGCCTCTAGTGTTTGCAGAGGGGTCTGTCAAACTGGCTAATGACAGGAGAGATAGGGCCTATCAAAGGGCCTAATGACAGTGGGAAGAGAGGGGAGGCTGGGGTGCTTCTCTGGGTCCTCCTTTTGGCAGTGGCTGGGTGATGGTTCATTTTAATTATAGGCTAGATGGAAAGAAGATTAGGATAGTGGGAAGACACACTTCTGAATGTGTCTGTGGGGAGTTTCCAGAAACAAAAAGGAGACCTGCTCCAAATCTGGGTATCTAATAGGCTGGGGGACAAAAGAGGAAGAAGCAGGAAGTCTGCCAGCATAGGTGTGCATGTGCTCTCTCTCTCTCTCTTCTTCTTCTTCTTCTTCTTCTTCTTCTTCTTCTTCTTCTTCTTCTTCTTCTTCTTCTTCTTCTTCTTCTTCTCCTCCTTCTCCTTCTCCTTCTCCTTCTCCTTCTCCTTCTCCTTCTCCTTCTCCTTCTCCTTCTCCTCCTTCTCCTTCTTCTCCTTCTCCTCCTCCTCCTTCTCCTCCTCTCCTCTTCCTCCTTCATCTTCTTGGCCTCCTGTCTGGTGGAGAGTCCAGTGCAGAGTCAGCTGCTAAGGCCAGCTTTGTCCATGTATTCTACTAGGCTCTGTGCAGAGGTAGGATGTGAGAGTACCACCCCTCCACCTCACCCCTCAGCCAGACAGTGTGCAAAGGAATCCCTTTCTGTGGTGTTCTGTGATGCTCGGGAGTTAGTCTCAAAAACTTTATTTTATGAAAAATAATAAAGTTTACTTTCAGACAACTGTGAAGAAGTAGGATCAGAGGTCTCAGAAGATGCCAAGAGTCTGTCCCTGTCAAAGCAATTGTGGTGGATTGAATGAAAATGGCCCCCACAGGCTCATTTGTTTGAATGCATAGTCACTAGGGAGTGGAACTGTTTGGGAAGGGTTAAAAGATATGACCTTCTTGAAGGAGGTGTGTTACTGGGAATGAGATTTTAAAGGCCACACTGGGTGCTCTCTCTCTCTGGCAGCTGCCCATGGTTCGGGATGTAAAGCCCTCAGCTACTTCTCCAGTGCCATGCCTGTCTGTTTCTTAGTGTGACAGTCACGGACTAACCCTCTAAAAGTGTAAGCAAACCCCCAATTAAATGCGTTCTTTGATAAGAGTTGCCTTTGTCATGGTGTTTCTTCACAGCAACAGAACAGTAAGTAAGACTGGTTAACTGTTTTTACCCAATAAAGTTGCCCCCCCAGGATGTAGTGTGAACTATTTCTTGGGAGATATGAACAAATGTTTACTCACCAGAAATAGGGAACTGATGATAGACCAAAGAAACAATATTACCAACATCCAGATAGGTGAATCAGTGACTTTATTTGCATTATTTACAGAATTATGGGTTAGGAGTTACTTACAGGAGACTGGATGACTCAAAGACAAGTGTATCACCAACTTCCCAGCCTATTATGGGTAGCGACTAACAGATGCTGAAACTCTGGAGTTCTCTGCCTTATTTTCAGGCAGCTTTATGGGTCAGAGAAGCTTTTATCAACAGTCTTTACTGCCTATATAAATTTGAGGAGAGAGGGAGACATAGATCTAGTATGTTTCAGGGATTTCCTGAGACTTGTGAGTTGTTTGCTTCCTGGATATTCATGGTATGCCCCCATCTGCTTTAGAACTTCTGGATCTTACCAAGCTTCCCTCCTGGATGGGATGTTTCTATTCAGAAGAAATTGCTCTATATCACAGGGTGCGACGAATCCCTCAGCATACCATGTTCTAAATGAACAAAGCCAGAGTTGTCCATGTGCCTGCCAAGCTTCTACAGGGGACTGAAATGGTACAGTCTAAAGGCCCATTCTCCAAACCTGGAATGAATTCACAGCAGGAATCCATGTTTTGAATAAGACTTCCTAGTGAATGTTGTCTTAAAAATGCCTGTTGTAGGGGATCTTGGTGCTTAAGCTTTAGAAGACAATGTTTTTTAGCAAAGGGAATCATATCACTTATATAGTATAAATACATGAGATTGGGGAGGACTGTGTGTGTGTGTGTGTTTGTGTGTGTGTGTGCACATGCACATGTGCACACCTGTGTTTTGGTAATTGACTTGGGTAACTGTGTATTAGATACCACGCTAGTATCTTATTCATATCTCCTTTGGATCACACTCCATAGCCCTCACTTTACTGGGGAAGAAATGGATACTCAGAGAGAAGAAGGGACTGCCTCACAAGTAGGAGCAGCTAGAAAGGGGTGTGATCTGTGTTTGAACCAAGGGTGAACCTAGAGTCCATGCTCTCCTCCTGTGATTGAACTCAGGCTGTCAGGCTTGCACAGCAAGCACCTCTCCCTACTAAGCCTATTTTACTTTTGTGTTAGCTACTTTTCTTATTTTTCCTATCAAACCTCTGACAAGAAGCAACTTAAGGGAAGAAGGGTTTGCTGTGGTTCTGATTAAAAAGCAGGGAAAGCATGTTAGCAGGAGTATGAGGTAGCTGGCCTCCTTACCCCTGCAGTCAGGAATTAGTGAGTGGACAGGAAGTAGGGATGGACCATAAGACCTCAAGGTGCCCTCTAGCCCAATGACAACTTCTTCTAGAGCCCTCACCCTTGATACAGTCCCCACTGGCTGTCCAAAAGTAATCTCTTCACTCCAGTCACCACGGCTTTCAGGGAAAGAGTGAGGTATTCATATTGTGGTTTGTTTTCAAATGGTAAGAAACAGGAAGCCAGTGGCTTGACTTATCCTATCCCCAGTGGGTACAGGAATGTATGGTTGGCCTTGGTGCATAGTACATGTCCTGGCTTTGAAATGGGCCTGCCAATGTTACTCATTCAGTTTAAATCACATCTTCTTTGAAAAGAATGATCAGCTGCTTTTACTCCTTCACACCCTACCCAAACTATTCGCTCTGTTACTTCTCACACGTGAGGGCCATGTTTTATGAGGTTGTTGCATTTGGAGAACAGAGTTTTAAGTCATGCTGCTTGCTCTCTGTCGTTGAGAATGGTATGCCCATTAGAGGAATGTGTATAGTTCTTCTACCCCTCTCTTGCGTGAAAGGGGTCCCGTGATTCAAGGGTGGGCTCCATTGCTAGAAGACTTTTCAGAGCTTTAACATGCTCCAAACAGTTTTTGAAGTTCATCCCCTCATGGTTCAAGACCCTTGGGGGTTTACTATTCTCCTAAGACTTCTTGCAGGATAAAAAACTAACAGATGTTAAATTGTTTTGTGTCAGGACACCTCTATAGCTTGTCCTCAAACAGCTACCATTACCTCATTCAGTAGGGTTTCCTCAAGACAAACATGGTTGTTTGAGGCTACACTGAGTAAGGATAAGATTGAGGGGAACAGTGGTTGGGGGTTGATGCTCTTGGGAAAGTTCTGGGGGAAAGGAAGGCAAAGGGCATACCATAGTCCTTTCTCTGTGTCCTGGTCTGCACAGGAGATGGGGCCTGGTTCTGCTTAGGAGGATTCCCTGCTCCAAGGCACATCATTTTTTAACTCAAAGGCCTTCTTTGGAAGCCCACCCCAGCCACCATGAGGCTCTGGCCTTTCCTAGCTTTCTTGTCCCAGGCATATGATGTGGTTGCTGGGAAGCATACCATGCCAGGAACCCCCCTTCACAGGTTGCCCAGCCAGAGTGTGTGAGTTAGGCTGACCCTGAGCCACATGGATGGCATCCAATTCCAGGATGCCAAGCAGTATAATAGCCAACTTGCTATGCAAGTTTCCACCATGTTCTACCCCTCTCAGGAGAAACTTACTTACTATAGAATATGTCTACCTGTTGGTGGGACTCCAGGCTTTTTGTGGCGGGATAAAGAACATGGTTTTGGGGGCCAGAGAGTTGGCTCTACAGTTAAGGGCACTGACTGCTCTTCCAGAGGACCCAGGTTCCCAGCACCCACATGGCAGCTCACAAATGTCTATGACTCCATTTCTAGAGGATCTGACACACAGACATACATGCAAGCAAAATACCAATGCACAAGGGATAAAAGTAAATAAATAGATTTAAAAAAAAGGAGATGGGTTTGACGTGCGGGGACTCAATGAACCCCATAAATAAGCCACATGGATAGGTCATCATTATGCACCCCGTCTTTCCAGGCACACCGTTCTGTGTGTCCAGCAGGAAAACAGTTTGGCTTGGAGTACCAAGCTTTTTGATAGCAACGTGATGCTTCGGGGGTACTGATCTATCACTGTGGTGTCTCTGCTCATTTGTGGCTCCTAAGGGAGTAACTTAGCACAAACACCAAAGCCAGAAGGGACTGAGTCCTTCCCAGGGCCAGGCCCCACGCCAAGCATGTAGTGTGTTTCCACTTGCTCATCTGACACAGTGAGCTAGCATCTGCTCTTACAGAAGAGAGAAAACCAGGGCAGAAAGGAAAAGTGATGTGTCTGTGGCCATTTAGCCATGCAGTGGCATGGCAGAACTTGAACCCGGACTTCCTGGTGCACAAGCCTGTAGCATCCTGTGTGGCTGGTGGGAGAGGTGTGAATGGCTAGGGGCTTCATAACCCACTTCACAGTGCAGGGCTGAAGGGCTAAGAGAAGAGCCACTGCAGACCTGCTGAGGCTCTGGAGCAGCTCTGTTCAGTCTGCTCAGGCCAGGGTGCAAACCAGAAGGCAGACCCATCTTTACATAGACTTTTATAGAAGGGATGCACATCTCTCCAAAGGAGTGTCTCCCGCTTAGACTTATAGAAGGGATGGATGGACATCTCTCCAAAGGAATGTCTCCTGCGGGAGCTGTGCATGAACCAGCAGTGTTATCTAAGACTTTTCAAACACCTCTAACAAACTAAACAGAGAAAAAGAAACAAAATGAAACCAGGCAGTGCCCCCTCTGCCTGTAGGTAAAATGGACAACTAGGAATAAAGAATGGAAAGGGTTTGGAAGGCCGAGAGACATTTTGTTTCTTTATTTAATAACAGGTTCTAAGAAGGGGGCTGGGGAGGGGGCTCCTTTACACGCTCCAGTTTAAACCCAGGCAGGTGACTTAAGTGGGCTCTGTCAGGAACAGGAGGGTCTCCATGCTGCTTTCCAAGACTGGCAGAGAATTCTGCATGTGTGCCAGGCGTCCTCTGCGGACATTACTTCTTTTTGAACACTTGTCGGCATACCTGGTCACCACAGGTCAGCTCCTGCAAGTCAGAAAGTGGGTGACTGACTGGCCAGTCCAGACTTCCTTCTGCCCACCTGCCCTTTTCGCATCTGGGACAGGTGGGTGGGGCTGCAATAAAGATGGCATTTAGTTGCTCTGGGCAAAGTGTTCCTCACAGACCTAATCGGCTGCCATGCCCTGCAGGTAGCAGTAATTTGATTTTGACACTCAAATTGAGCTTGAACAACTATAAAAATGAAAAATGCAAAGAAATGACCCTCTTGGGCAGGATTTTTCCTACTCCCATGATTAAAGCAACATTGCCTAATTTATTAAAAGGCGGTGAGGCCGAGAGGAAGGGAAGGGTGGCATGGAGAAGCATTAGGTTAGCGGTGGCCCCACAATAGGGCAGGAGCTTCAGAAGGGCTCCCACTGGCCTGCCTGCACAGCTGGCAGGTTCCCACTTTCCATGGAGGTAGATAGAACCTCAGGCCTTACCTGCATCTCACTGAACCCCAAGGGAAGAGGGTGAGTGGGCAAGATGAAGGCCACCATGCTCACCGAAGCTGACCATGAATCTGTTGTTTGAGCGGCAGGTACTGTTTGGGATGGCCCCACAATTTAAAAAAAAAAATCTATCATGCAAGCCACAGAAAGTAGGGAGAGTGGCCAGTGGGAAGCACCGAGGATGTTTCCCATGTATCATCCATCATCTGACACGCCCTTGAAATAAAGATCTCAGGTGAAGTTAGCTCAGATCTGAAGAGCATCTTGGTGACTTCATGTGGATCTAAGCGCTTGCTGAATGAGCCTTTCATTTAGCAAGTGAGTAACTGGATGTTTGAAAGAAGGAAACTTTCCTCATTGTTCTGATGTGGGGCCCACAAACTGCTGTGAAGACTGAAGAATGAAGGATAAAGCCGTCTAGGCAGTTCATTGAAGGATGTCAGCCTTTGTCCCTACTGCTCTGTTCTGCTAACAAATCAACCTCATAGGATCAGGTCCGCCATGCCTTAGGCTCCAAGGCTTAGGGTGAGAGGGCAATGCCCCCACCACACCCTTCATGCTGTCACCCTCCCGCTCACCCCCCAGTAACTGACATGATGCCGGGTGTTGTCCTCCTCCAGGTGGCTTAATTCCACCTTTCTCCCCAGCTGCCCCTTAGCAGATTCTCTGCATTTTCCCTTGGATCTCGGGTTCCTAACTCAGCATTTTAAACTTTCTTTTTTAATTGCAGCTGTTCACAGAAACAGCCATATAGATTTCTTCCTGGAGTCCCCTGAGCCAGATGGGAATGGCTTTCTGACTACATGACCAAACGCATTTGGCTGCGGCTCAGGGCCATTTTTCTTGTGAGTGTTGCAGACAGTGCTGTCCAGACCCCAGGGCTTACCAGGTACAACTTGTCTCCCTCCACCCATTGCTTCCAGCCGCGGTTCTCCTTCTCTCCTTTCTGCACACACACAAGAGTGTTCCCTTCCCAGGTGACCAGCGTCTGCAATGACAGATTGTCAGGCAAATCACACAGGTAGCCTTGGGAGACTGAGCGAGCATGTGTCTACGGCCTCAACTCCTGCAAGCTCTGCCAGGCTCCTGCATGCTCATGGGACACAGCCCTGCCTCAGTGACCCCAGGGACCTCCCAGTCTCCATTCCACAGACACCCTCCATCCCAGCCAAGCTGGTTTCTCTGGGCCTGCATTCTCTTTTAAGGAATTCTACTCAACCATTTTATTATCTGGTAAAAATAGCATTTCGAGTTAGTGAAGGGAAGATGATAAATTCAACTATTAACAATGTGAAATTTCTGGAAGGGAAAATACCTCAAAGTCAACAGACAAATAACCAACAGGGAAAAAGAGCTGTAGCATATCAGTAAAGACTTGATGTCCTTATATATAAAGGGCCTCTGTAAATCAATAGAAAGATCATTAACCTAACAGTCCACGCCAACCAAACATATGAACCAAGGACTTACAGAGGAAACTCTTGTAGTAGATGGCTTTTAAACATAAGAAGAGATAGCCTACTTAACAAATAACCGAAGAAATACTGATAAGACTGCTTCTCAGATCCAATTAATCATGTGGTCAAAGATCAAAGATTTAGTAGCACTGAGGGGAAGGAAGAGAAATGGTTTTTCGAGAACTATTTTATATTAGCTTTCAAAATATGAAACTGCACATAGCTTTACTTATGGTTTTACTTTTGTTTATTGTCTTAAATAATATTTATTATTTGAAATTTTCCTATTTTAACTTTTTTTTTTTTTTAAGACAGGCTCTCACATAGTCCTGGCTGTCCGTGAACTTACTGTGTAGCTGAGGATGACCTTGAGCCCCTAACCTTTTTACCTCTACCTCCTAGGTTCTGGGATTATCATCTCTGATGAAACCTATAATTTCTAGCCTGGGAATTTTCCTGCAGGAGGTCACATTTTGAGCCTTGTCCACTGTAGGTGAAAATAAATGCAAGAGGGTCCCTAACTAGGGAGCTGCCGCTCATGTGGTTCTGGATTGTGTGACCTAGAACCAGGAGGATGGACCTGCTTTTCTTCAGGTTTCCTCTGGGGAGTGATGCTAATGGTATAGTGTGGTGATATATTGTTTATGATCTAATAAAGCTTGCCTGAAGATCAGAATGCAAGGCTAGTCACATCCATAAAGGCCAAAGCAGTGGTGGCACACACCTTTAATCCCAGCAGCCACACTGGTTAGCCAGAGGCTGAGAGGTGGTGTGTATGCCTTTAATCCCAGCACTAGAGGGGTATGTAAGACAGGAGCTCAGGGTCTCATTCAAGTAGTTAGACTGAAGTCACATTGAGGATAGGATCACCCAGCCTTGGTAGAGGTAATAACTCTCTAGTGGTTGGCTGCTTTGTAACCTGATCTTCAGGCAAGCTTTACTAGATCACAAACAAAATATCACTACAGTACAGTAGCCTAGATATGGCAGGAGACCTCAGGAAGGGCATCCTCCATTTCAACCAAGCCGAGCTGACCAGCTGAGAAACCATAGGCCTGCCAATACCCAGGGCAGGCCCCTGTGCACACACATGCAAGGTATATGTTCTCTAGACACGCATTTCCCTCTTAATACCTGCCTCAGTGCCAGGTCAGGCCACTCAGTCACCTGTTGAGATATTTATATTATCCCTGCTGTGTCTTTGTCTTACTTCCTGGGGCTGGGCTGGGGTGGGGTGAACTTGACACAGCTGGGATTTTTTCCCATGTGTGCATAAACCACCTGGTGCCTCTCTGAACAAAATTAGGATAAAGACCTGATGCTTGCTTTCTTCTACCTCCTGTAAAGCCTACTGGTGATAAATCAACTTGTAGGTTTTTTTCCTCTTTTTCTTGTGCATTTTACAAACCTGTTTTCTACAGGTTGCTAAACCTATCCATTTTAAAAATAATATTTGACCTTGACCATAACACATACTCGATGTACGGTGTTAATCCTCTCCGTTTCACTCCTCCATGATTCAAAGGATGGCGAGTTACCACAAAGGATGGGGAGCTTCATAAATACTGTCAGTGGGTGACTGGTTAAGTATGGTGTGATTCTTCCCCACTTCGTAGCCATAGAAAGAATACAGCCAGAGCCCGTTGTTCAAATGTTTAAGAATGCAAGGTGATGAGCATTGTGCTTATGGAAGAAGGGTGTGTATGTACATTCAGGAACAAAGGGACAAAGCTAGGGAGCCAAGGTGGAAAGAAAATTTCACTGTTTACTGTTTTTAAAAAATTGTAACTGCCCCACAATCACAGTCCCCAAATCTAATTTAAAAATAAAATACTCTGTACTTTCTAAAAATGTCTCCTCCTTTAAGACCATCTGAAGCCCCACGTCTCTGAAGGACTTAGAGATGTCCAAGCCATAGGTTTCCTGGCTCCTCTGGGAGGAAGAAATGTGTGGGAAACCCATCTGCCATTTCTCCCCATTGGCTTCGATTCCATTGCTTGCCTGGAAGATGGATAAGGACTCTTGCCGTCTCCTTCCTCCCATAGTGCCTTGCACCGGAAGCCTCTGTGCATGCTGACTGCACTGATGTCGGTCTCCCTTCACAGGCAGTGAACTCAAGAAGGAGAGACTGTATGGCTGTTGGTGGCAGCAAGGACTCCCGCCACAGTGGCTGCTGCTGCGTGGTGGACAGTTTCCCTGAAGCACAGTCTCAGGGAAGCCCACTGGCCTCCTGCCTTAGGGGAGGTCCCAGCAGAGAGCACACACGCCCTACAAGGGGCACACGCAGTAGACATTGCCCATTTAATTGTCTGTCTTCTATACGAGGCCTGAGATCCCTAAGGGCAGGAAGTGGGGGAGGGTGTCTATTCATCATGTCACCCACCTCACTGACAAAGACTTGGCAGGCAGGAGGAGCTTATCAAAATGTGCAGAATGAAGAAAGGGGAAAAGTGTTAGTGCAAAGAGGCCTGTCCTAATATTTCATTTTAATAACTCACACTGGGCAGCAGGATTCAAAGTTATTCTGACCCAAAAGTAAATTGGTTACCAATGAATCATGGTAATGCTTGCAAGATTGTGGGCTCACTCTTACACGAGATGGTGACAAGCAGAAAGGAAAGGACAGTTAGATGAACCAACTCCAGGCTTAAATTTCTTATTAATTAAATTATCTTCCTCCTCCGCCTTCTTAAATCTCACTACAGAGTCCAGGCTGACCTCGAACTTGCCACTTCCTCATCTCAGCTTTTCAGAGCTAAAGTGTCCTATTCCAGTTATGGGCAGAAGGTGGCCCTGAGGGCACCTGTTCTGAGCTGTAGTTCTCATGGGAAGAGACCGCTGTCCAGTCTCTGCTGAGTATATTTCACCATACTAGCTGTGTGTGTGTCTGTGTGTATCTGTATCTGTGTGTCTGTGTGTGTGTGTGTCTGTGTGTGTGTGTGTCTGTGTGTATCTGTGTGTCTTTGTGTGTGTGTATATGTGTCTGTGTGTGTATGTGTGTGTGTGTCTGTGTGTCTCTGTGTGTGTATGTGTGTGTATGTGTCTGTGTGTGTGTCTGTGTGTATATGTGTGTGTCTGTGTGTGTCTCTGTGTGTGTGTGTCTGTGTGTATATGTGTGTCTGTGTGTATATGTGTGTCTCTGTGTGTTTGTGTGTGTGTGTGTCTGTGTGTGTGTCTATGTGTGTGTATGTGTGTCTCTGTGTGTGTGTGTGTCTGTGTGTATGTGTGTCTGTGTGCATGTATGTGTGCGTCTGTGTGTGTGTCTGTGTGTGTATCTGTGTCTCTGTGTGTGTGTATGTGTATCTGTGTGTCTGTGTGTGTGTGTGTCTGTGTGTCTCTGTGTGTGTGTCTGTGTGTATGTGTGTCTGTGTGTGTGTATGTGTGCGTCTGTGTGTGTGTCTGTGTGTGTATCTGTGTCTGTGTGTGTGTGTGTATGTGTATCTGTGTGTCTGTGTGTGTGTCTGTGTGTGTGTGTGTGTGTGTGTGTGTGTGTGTGTGCAGGGGTTGAGGATGGGCATTTCCCCTGACTTTCTGCTGCAGACAAAGAAGACAGAAGCCATGGAAAAGAGGCTACTTTCTTCCTCCATGGCTAAGTGATGATCTTGCTGAGAGGAAGGAGAATGGGAAGTGGGGAGGCCAGAGACTAGGGGAAGGTAGGTGGTGACAAGTGGGATTCTTTCAGAATCAAGAAAGGCCAGGAGGACGTGACTTATTTCAGGGAGAGGGAACTCTCTGTCATCTCAGGTGATAAAGCACAAGTCAGAGAGGAGCAGATTGCCACTCAAGAGCCCACGCCTCACACCAAAGGAGCAGGGCATGAATCATTGCACACTGATTAGGCTGGAACAAGGGGGAGATGCAAAACTTCAGAGACAAATTTTCCCAGTAGTTCTGGGGTCTGATGAATTGGCTTTTTGGCCACAGTTCAGAAAAAGGTTTGTGGATCTATCATCCCACAGACCCACAGGGAAGGGTCCTAAAGTGGGACCTTCTGGGGCTTTCTTTTGTCAGGTTAGCTCTGATGGAAGATCTCCAAAATACTTTCTTACCTCTGTCATTTTTCAGCAAGAATCACTGAATCTAATTTTCCTTGATAGATGAGATTATAAATGCTAGGTCACCTTGACTGGGAGATGTGCCCTGCTTTCCGTGAGTCACCACCATAGAATAACAGCTTTCCCTTCGGAGGCAGGAAAGGGACCCACTACTCCTTGGGACACTGGGAAGGTGTTAAGCACTGGTAAAGTGGGTTTAAATCACTACTAGTTAATGAAAGGTTCTTATGGAAAGTGCCCCTTCCATTCTTGTGAATGAGATATTGGGGCATGGGCTGATTTGATTTCCCTGTTAGCAATTTTAGGACTCTTTCTTGATGCAATGTTCTCACTTCTCTAGACAAAAGCTCTGTCAGTCCAACAGTCAGCTGTACTGCCCTTACAATGGCATCAGCCATCTTGAGCACTCCATGAACGCCTTGAGAAGGCTCCTTGAAGATCACAGCTAATTGCTCTGGCTTCTGAAGGCTTGGCCCTATCCAAGGTTGTTGGAAACAGTTTGTACCAGACTTTGTGCTACCCCAGGTCTTGGTGACCTCTAACTGAATCTGCAACTTTTTCTACCTCTCCTGGTGGCCTTGCAGGGGAATTGCTGTGACTAGGCTAAAGAGACAAGACTGTGATTGGCCCCGGCACCCCTTTCTCTGGCTCTCTAAGCAGGCTCATCAGAGAGCTGACATTTAAGAAAGATAAACATCTGGACAGAGCCACAGAAGAGAAACGGCCACCCTGGTCACCAGGTTTCCAGAGAGCCGTCAAGTGTTTAGAGCCAAGAACCTCCGACTCTTGGGCTAAGAGCCCTACAGTGGTCAGTGGAAAGGGTTAAGAAATCTGGGCTCCTAACAGAGGAGCTCTAACACCTATTGGCCTGCATAGGGTCAATGCCATCAGAGGGTGCCACCTACTGCTACTCCCACCTGCTGTTGCTGCCACTTGCTGTAGCCAAACGCTAAGAGAAATAAAAGTGACTAGAGAACAGCATTGTTCTCTCCTCTGCTCTCCATGGTCTCTATCGTGGTAGAGCTAAAACCACAGCTAGCCAAAAACGAATACTCCCAGCCCAGGAAAGGAACCAGGGCTTATGGCTCTTGCTTTGGGAAAGCTTCTATAAGAACAAGACAGTGGCCTGCCTGAGAAGATGGGGCTGTGATCAACGGGCAGAGAAGGGTGGAAGATCCTGCATCACTGTGTCATCCCAGGGGGCTGGACCTTTGCTGGAGATGAGGTCTCATTTACTCAAGACAGTGTAGTCAGCTCCGTCCTTCTCTGGCTAGGAGCCTGGCAAAATCAAGTCGGCACAGAGAGCACTGTGGATACCCTAACTGGCACCCGTGTATAAACTACATGGGCATGGACAGTTCACTCAATGGCCACTGGGACAAGTGGCAAACCAGTAGCCCTTCCAGTGTTCTGTACAATCCTCAGGGCTATGACACTAAGGTTGGGGGGGGGCGGTCTTTAAGTAGGGCTGAGATCAGATCTCTCTTCTTCTGGTTTGGAGGGCAACAGTCCAGGTGTAATGGCCAGAGACTGGAACGCAGTGTGAGGAGCAGGACACTGAGCAGGACACCATACAGCAATGCAGGGGAGCTACTGTCTATTTATGAACAGCTGCTCTGGGTATAAGGCTTACCCTTTCTTAGAGTTGAGGCCTCGGGCTTGGATATAATACTTCACCTTCTGTTGAGAGCCATTTGCTATGTGCTTTCAGGATTGATCAGTGTAAGTACAGGAGCCCCCGCTCATCAAAGAGGTTTGTGTTCCAAGAGCCTCAGTGTGATGCTGGGTAGAACTGAACCCTATATAGTCTGTGGAACTAACGTGGCTACCAAGTGACTGGTGGGTGGGTAATGGATACAGGGTAGATAGGCTGGGCAGAGAAATGACTAATATCCTGAGCAGATGGAGCAGGAAAGGGAGATTGCATCATGCTACTCATGGAATGTAGTTTAAAACTTGGGATTGTTTATTTCTGGAATTTCCCATTCACTACTTGTGGACTGCGATTGGCCATGGGTAATGGAAACCGTGGGAAGTGAGACCTTGGCTAATAGAGGATTTCTGCAGTTCAGCTACTGGAAGTATGACCTTTGATTCAGGCAAGGTTTCTTAGATTATGTCCTAGGGCTTAAGTCTCTGCTATGACAGAAGCCACAAAACACTGCTGAAACTGGATGCTCTTTACACCTAGGTAAACTGTGTGGCTGAGCTGCGTGGTTATCCAATCTTAGGACACTCCGTCCTGCCCTCTTTCTGCTGCTTGCTCAGCCATGTAGTCTACAGGATGGGGCCCTACCTTAATTTCTTGCATGATCCTTCACCCTCTCCTTTCCCTGCCCATCTTTACTCAGCCTTCACCAATTACTCATTGCCAATATCAGGAAGTCCATTCCATTCTTGTCTTGCTTGCTGGGACCTTCCTGGGGTTTTGTCTGTCACCTAGTGAAGCCAGAAAGCCATCCCTTGCATGGACAGCCCCAGTGAAAAACCTTCCCACTGGGGAGTACCTTGACATGCCGGCTGTCCAGGCCCTTTGTGTGTTCATCAAACTCCACCCCGACAGTAAAATCCAGGTCATAGTTTCGGAATGTGCTGTTGGTTTTCGTCTTGAAGTTATCACCGTCTTGAGTGATGATCTTTGTCTGAGTCAGACGTACTGCGATCTTGCGGGTGGCAAAATCAATATCTGTTGGCAGAGGGAGTAGCGAGGTTATGATGTGTGCAGCCAGGCTCATTCATTTCTTTAACAAGGCAAAGTGCTTCGGACTCAGGACTCAGACTGGGGACATGCCACATCTCTTCACTTAAGTGAGAAGCCAGGCTTGTCTTACACTTATGATTTTGTCCTCCTTAGTTTTGCTCCATGTGTTCCCCACCAGAACCAGCCCTAGGGCGATGCTCAGAGTAGATGCTCAGATAATATATATTTGATAATGGAGGAGCATGGTCCAGGGCAGCGGTATTAAAGTCAGGACCCTGGACCACCACCATCAGCAGCAATGACCCTCAGAAACCCATGGAAACCTGGTACCACTCACTTTGTACACACCACAATTTAGAACTACGGGCACCAAAGAGTGAGGATGAGGGGCAGGTTGGTCCCGATTTCTCAGCCTGCAGAAGCCACCTTTCCTCCCAGCGCCTCTGTTTTCTCCTGACAAAATGAGGAAAGAGCACTCATTTCACGTGTTAAGGACTCCAATCTTTATGGTGAAAGGCTGTATATGGTCCCCAAGAGCTGGCGCCTATTCACAGCACACAGGCCTCCGCTGTTGTCCTGGTCTGTTTGGGTCACAAAGGGACCAGATCAGCTTAGCCCAGAGCAAAAGTTTCAGATCATATTTATGTAACCTTGTCGCTATTGGATCCACACTTCACTCTGTAGCTGTAGCTATCACGGGGCCCTTTACCCAGCCTAGTGGGACACCTCCCAGGCTGAATCAGCTACTTCCCTCTAGCTCGCTTGGTCAGTGGCTTTTGCTCAAACCCTGCATGCTGAAGTTGTGCTAACCAGACATCCTGCAGGCGTCATTAGGAGGTAGGAAAAGGTTGCTGTTAACCAAATGAAACAAAGGGGAGCACTCCAGGCAGATTACTATGGAGGGATGGGAAATTGTGGGGAAATTTAGAACAGATTGTTCTTTAACAAGCAAATCTATATTCACTCTGTGGAAGTCGAAATCTCGGCCCAGAGAATTGAAATGGTGGGCTCAGCGCCATCCAGCTTCGGTGTCCCTACAAATGCAGTCTGTTTGTCATTCATAGCTAAGGCTCTCTAGCAAAAATTATTGCTTGTCCCGGGCTGCCTAGAAAAGTGGATCACAGTGAAACGGCCGGTTGCTGAGAGACTGGTGTGTCCTGGAAACGGCACCCTAGTCAATCTTTCTGACTAGGGCCAGGAGAATGTTATTAGGGGCTCTATGCAAATGGAAGCAAACACTGCTTCGCCTCCAGATTGAAAAATGGCTTGGCCTCTTGGCCACCCTTTAGCGTTTGCACAAACCAGTTAATCATGTCACCTCTGCTCCACCCCAGAGGGGTGGGGGAAGGGAGCCAAATACTCTGCTGGTGGATTTCTTGTTAGATATTTCTAATCAAAAGGGTTTAACTGTAGCTATAGGACACACACTTGTGCGCACACGCTCATACACACACACACACACACACACACACACAGAGTACACAACCACTTCCTCTTTGAACTTTGCAGAGGAAACTATTTTCCTGATATATTTTAACACTAGGGTTATCAAGTTTGTTTTATCTGTTTTTCGGTATTAAAGATTCCCCCGAGCCTGATTTATAGTCAGGTGAAGTGACATTCTCTCTCATAAGGAAAGGTCCAAAGACAAGCTGTTTCTGAACAGTACACATGGCTTATGGCTGCTGCAGCTGCAGAAAAACAAATCAACAACAGCGAAGTAGCTTTATTAAGCATACTTTTCATAACTGCATTTTTGAACAATGCAAGCTATAAAGCTGAAATACGAGCATGCGACTCAACATTAAAATGCTTTGTAATGTGCCTGCGAAGAAAGCTGAAGTTGCAAGCTAAAAGGGCAGGTGCTCTTTGTGAATTAAAGAGCGGAGATGCGCAGGAATCCATCACAGGAAATCTGAGAACAGTTCAAAGTGCAGCTTCAGTGGGCTCTGAACCTGGACTCCTTAACTCTGGAATCATCGACACTTCCAGGCAATAGGGAGAAGACGAGTGGGAGAGCAATTTTCTCTTTCTTTCCATGCCATTTCCTCTCCAGAGGACACATTTAGAAGGGAATTAGAAAGACCCCACCTCTCTTCCTTCACTCCTTCCTGGCTATTGCAGGCAGGAAAGGCTACTGGCTTGTATTCTGCGCTTTGCGCCCTCAGTCTCGTGTTCTCCACTGGGGTGGATAAGGGGAGCAATGGTACCAGCACATGGATGTGGGACCAGAGGAGGGGAAGCACCTATCCTGACACCTGGCCTTTTCTGCTTCTTAGTACTTTTCCCTTTCAAAGTCCAACTAGGTACCACGTGGTGCAGTTAAGACTCCGATGAGTTGAATAACTAGGTTGCCTTGTCAATACCAGCAGGAATCCAGAGTTTTGTTTGAGAACATCATCATTCTCAGGTCATCAGACATGGTTGGTTGTCAGTTAGAGATCTTGAATGACCCTCTTAGTGTCTTGCTGTCTCTCTACTTTGGATATCTCTACCATCTAGTAAGCTGTGCTCAGAATGAAGTCTTTCCCACCACTTGACACCCTCTTGTCCAGAGCAGCCCTGTGGGAAGGGCTAGCGTGTTCTTAGAAGACCTAGATTGGGTGCCTGTCTGGGCCCTACCATGTCCTAGTCACGTGTGTGCCTAGGATAGTCTTCTCTGGGCTTCAGATTCTTCATCTCATCAGTTAAAAAATGTTATCAAATCCCTTCTCAGACCTGACTATTCCCCAAACTCCAGGTCTTACCTCAACATGTCCACATCCATGCTCCCCTTGTCTGTGTAGTGACTATATGAAGCCAAAACAGGAAATAGTATTCTTGGTCTAACCTGTGCCTGTCTTTCCAGCCTCAGCCTTCTCGTTCGTCCTCCATCTGTCTGTACACCCCCACACCCCAGCCTTCCTGTGCTGCACCTTCTTGGATGCACACAAATATTTTTGCACTTACTGTCCCTTGCTTTGGGGATGCCTCTCAGCCTCAACTTCTGGCTTTAAGCGCTGGCTCTCAACACCTTAGGTTGTATTTCTTGGCCTTTTGTCATTCTTCACGAGTTACTCTCTTTTGTTGTCTTTGAAATGCTTTCATTAGCTAGAATCATCTAGCATGGTGTTCTGGAGTTCTTGCTCAGCATTCCCTCCTTCCCCCCACCAGCCAGGAGGTCAACTGTGTGAGGATGGGGGACACTCTTCTCACTCAGATTCCATCACCAGTGACCACAGTAGTTCCCTCAGGAGTAGAGCCACTTGGATTCTGCTGCAGATGACACAACCCCTGCTTCCAGAAACAGCTGCTGATGTTTCATTGTGGCAGCCAGGTAAGTCTCAACCCTGGGCTCTGCTCTGTCTAATTCACACAACTGGAACCTTCTTTCTACAGCATTGCCTGCCCTCCTTTGGAAATGAAGACATGTCTCCCACTCCTCATTTTCTGGTCCAAAGGAGGATGGTTGACATGACAGATTCCTGCTTCTTCATGGTCAGAAAGACTCTACCAAAGCCTTGAAGTGCCCAAAGCAGGAGAGGAGGGGCTACTGAATTATCCAGGACACTCACCCTCACACTCCTAATGACTTTGATAATCTGAGATAAACTCAAAGGTTGCCATGACACATCATTCTGCTGAGGCTGGTACGTGAGTCATAAATGGAAGCAAGCATATCAAGTGAGCTACTGGACTATTGATAAAGCCAGTGTGCTACTCCCTCCCTACTGCACAAACAGCACAGAAAGCCTGATGGATAGAGTTGAAGTCCAAGAAAGTAATGGTTCTTAGGCAAAGAACAGTGTCACACCAGATGGGTATTTACACATCTGGGGATTTGCAAAGATCTCTGCAATGCTCACCCCAAATGCCAAGTGCACAAAAGGGCATAGAAAGCAAGCTTCATTGATTTCCCAGTCTTGGGGAAAGAACAGTGCCCTTCATCGGGTGTGACAGATATCAAACAAATCTATGGAGTGGCTTTTGACAGGTTAGAATGATGGGGGCAGTCACTCCTCAGCTGCCTTTTGGCTGAGCCCCTTGGCATTAAACACTGACAGACCAGCCCTGCCTATGAATAGGTGAAGGAGATCAGATGTCCTGTCTCAGTGACTGGAAAATGACTCTGGCTGAGGTATTTTTGTGCAGGCATTGTGGTGTCGATGTGGGGCCAGTCTTTAGGGCCGTGAGATAGAATTCTCTCAGGAAGTAGCTGGGCAAAGCAGGTACAAGGACATTCGCATTCTGTGTCTAACTAGGGCTATGATCTACAGTAGTCATTTCAATCCACAAAGTGTCAGCTGCCCTTCTACAAAGCAGGGACCCGCTACAAAGAGTTGAATCAGTCTGCTCGTTAGAGTGAGATCAGTCTAACATGATGGTAGATTGTATTTCTAATGAAATCCAAAGAGACGACAAGCAACTGATGCTAAGGATTAGAAAAGTCAATCCGGAAGTAGATACAGCACACTCACAACCTACAAGCTCCTCCTGCCCATTGTGGTGTAAGCTAGAGTCCAAAGAAAGCCAGATGTAGATGGGGGATTTCTTTCATAGATCTAAGGTCTATCCTCACCATCCATCTAGAGGGAAAAGAGTAAGGGATGGTAATGTTTGTCTTCTACCCTTGGACTGAGGAGTTGGACTTTAGGATTCTACCCAAGGGGTCACATGCTAAACTAGAACTTGTTTTTATCCCTAAAATCAGTTAGGGATTATTTTTGGGAAGTGTTATCACTGTGTGTACATGCATATGTGCTGTGTGATGAGTGGAAGACATGTGTGTGCATGGAATGTGTGTGGATGTCGGAAGACAACTTTTGAGAGTTGGTTATTTCCACTGTGGATTTCAAGGGTTAAACCCAGGTCCTCAGGCATGTGTACCAAGTGTCTGTACCCACTGGACCATCTGGTTCTGGAATTCGTATCACTTAAGCAAATGCAACAAAAGGTACATTGCTTTCTGACAATAATCTATGTGCCTGGCTTGTCTAGCATACTTAGGAAACCAAGGTGATTTCAAACAGCCCATGTGATAAGATTTTCAGTTGTCTAAAATCACAGCTGTACCTGGCAACATTCTAGAGAAATCACAATATGAGTGTTATTACCCCTACTTGGCAGATGGGAAAACTGAGGTTGCAGAAGGTCAAAGACCGGATTCCACATCACAGAGTAAGTCCTAGGGGGAACTTAGGCTATATCTGGGCTTGTCTACCTCATAATGTCCTAAATTAAGGTTAGTTACATATGTGGGGTCAGAACCCCCTTCATCATTGGCTACATGTGTCATCAAACAGAAGAACAGTTCCTTTTTGCCTATACCATCCTATACTCCATTCCAAGTAAACTAGGTACCCTAACTCTAGTGAGTGGAGCCCCATTAAGATAATTTTTTTGGTATTTTGAGACAGGGTTTCTCTGTATTGTTTTGGAGCCTGTCCTGGAACTTGCTCTGTAGACCAGACTGGCCTCAAAGTCACAGAGATCCGCCTGCCTCTGCCTCCTGAGTTCTGGGATTAAAGGTGTGCGCCACCAATGCCCAGCCCATTAAGAGAATTTATGCCTGCCTTTCTTCAGTTGTAGAAGAAAGAACCACAATTCCCATTCTTACATCTGTCTCACACACATCCAAGGTATTGGGCCTCTGAGGCTATGTGCAGCCATGTGTGGTTCCCTCACATGCAGAATGCAACACTGTATGCAGGATATTTCAGGGTAGAAAAAGGTGAGCCAATCCTGTTGTGGGGAAGAAGTCAGTTTGGCAGCCAAGCTCCTTGCCGTCCCTGGCTGCTGCCATCATTTGTAGGTCCCCTGTGGCGATTCACTCCATCTCTTCCCTAGTACAGCCCAGAGATGTTCAGGACATGTTTCTGCCAACACTGAGAGAGACCTAAAGACCTACCCTGTCCCTGACTTGGGACACAGACAGATTATTCACCCTTGACCTGGAGCCCAGTGCAGAAATTGGATAAGCAGTGAGTGGTTTGGGTTTGAACCATACGACAGAAGCCCACCCCCCCCACCCCCGCTTCCTTCTACGAGGCTGAATGTGTCTAGGTAGAGAAATTGGCTAGCTGACCTTCCAATTTTGTTTGTTTGTTTGTTTTCTATGACAAGGCTGAGAATAATTACCAAAGGGGTCATTGTTGATGTTTGATTCAAATGGTTACCTATGAGATGGTGATGGCAAGGCAGGAGAGTGACTGTGCCCTCTAGGGCAGACTAAACCGGCCATGGTGTGTGTGTGTGTTTTCTATCAGCCAGGCACTGTGTTAAGAATATTCTAACTCCATCATATTTATTATTTACAGATAGGAAAGAACCTCAGAGAATTCATATGTCTTAGTTGACTTTGCACTGTTGTGACTGAGGGAAGAGGATTTGTAGAAAGCTCTGGAGAGTCCCACTCTAGCACCTCATAGAGGGCCAGTCTGCTGTCCTCCAAATGTCCCTTTCCTCCCTGTTCCCTTTGCGTCTTACCTAGGGCCTTCATGTAGCCTTCAAAGTTCTCATTACTCTCCATTTCCCAGGTTCCATTCTGGTCCTTTGTCATGGTGGTGGACTCTGGTTTGGTGCAGGCGTTTGGTAACTGTGACGGAGCAGGCTGCAGGGAGACTGTGTTAAGCTGAACTGCTTTATAGCTTAGCGGGCCTGGTGTTTGAAGATAACGAAGTCAAAGTTCATAAGCCTGACTCAAAGGAATCATCTTTGCCTTTGCAAAGTTCAGCAGGTCTATGGGCAATCAAGGCACAAAGTCCTGCTGTTGCCAAGTATGCATGTCCCAATGACCACTATGACACACACTGCCTTGGAGCAGCTCACTTTTGCCTGGTGGCCTCCCATAGAGGCTCTGACCCCACATGAAACATTCTATCCAGTTCCTGAGGGAAGCAAACACCCAGTGTCTGCCACACAGAAGCCACAGCTCTGTGGTGCCCTAATGCCAGGCCTGTGTCTTTTGCTTGGACTCTGTGGAGGTTGAAAGGAATCCTCGACTCTGAATTGGACTGTGAATTTATTCTTCTAGGCTAACCAAAGGGACAGTGTAAAACTACCTTGATACATTTCAAGCCAAGCCAGAATGAGTTCTCTGTGACAAACACATGTCAAAACAGGTTCAAATTGGGAAAACATTACAAAACTTATTACCAAGAGCAAGCATCTCCAAAAGTTCTCAGATCTCCAGGAGTTTCAGATACCAATTAGAAAATAAATTTAAGAATTGAGTCTGGGACCAGTTCAGGCCGAATCCCCTCCACACCCTTCCCTGGAATTCCCTGGGTTATCCCCGATTCTCGCTTCCCCTTATATCCTGGCCCTGGATAGTACAGTCCTAGTACTCTGCTCCATACACCACCCAGGGCCTGCCCTCCCCCCCAACCCTGTGCCCTCCTGGGCCCACTGCTCCACTGCTCTGGTTGAGCATTGGACCAGAGTGCAGGTTCAATAACTCCTTCACCTCTGCGGAACTTCCTGGGTCTGCTCTGAGCACACTGGACCCACCTATCCACGAGGGACCATCCTGAGGCCCCCACCTGCCTGACCTTTGGACCCCATTGCTGGGCCTCTGCTGGGGGTGAGTCTGGGACCAGTTCGGGCTGAATCTCCCCCACACTCTTCCCTGGGATCTTCCTGGGTTATCCCTGATTCTCACTTCCCCTTATATTCTGGCCCTGGATAGTACAGTCCTAGTACTCTACTCCATACACCACCCAGAGCCTGCCCTCCTCCAACCCTGTCTCCTACTGGGTCCACTGCTCCACTGCTCTGGTTGAGCATTGGACCAGAGTGCAGGTCCAACAACTCCTTCACCTCCATGGAACTTCCTGGGTCTGCTCTGAGCAAACTGAACCCACCTGTCCTCCAGGGACCACTCTGAGGCCGCACCCACCTAATCTCTGGACTCCATTCCTGGCCCCCTGTCAGAGGAGAGACCTAGAAGGTTTGGACCATCCAGAGCTACAAACATCGAACTCCTGACCCACCTACGACCACCGGGAAAGTAGGGCAGAGAGAGAGAAAGAGACTCCACCTGCACCCACTGGAAGAAGCAACGGGAAGATGGCAATACAAGAAAACACCCAACAATAGAAAGACAATTATGACACCACCAGAATCTAGGGATTCTACATCAACTAGACGTTAACACACCAAAGCAGATGAAGCAGAAGAGAATGACTTAAAAAATAACTTCATTTTTTAGAGGCCCTCAAAGGCGATATGAGAAAATCCCTTAAAGAAATGGGGGAAAAACAAACAAAAAATTGGAAGAAATAGAGGAAAAGACCAAGCAAAAATGCAAGAAATGAACAAATTTCTTTTTATTTATTTATTTTATATAACCAAGTCCATTTAAATAAAAACACACATTTATAGACAATATTTGGGAATTTGGGCGTTATTCTTTCCAAACTACTTCCTGCTGGTAAGGGGCACTGTCATGGGGGAATCTAAGAAGATGCAGAAATCCTGGCGGTAGTCTGCAAGGCTGCTTTGTCCAGCTGTTTTGAATGTAGGATCACCTGGTACTCTGTTTTAGGCAGTCTAGCTTCATCAAACTACATTAGTCTGGAAGGAATCCACAGCTTTTCATTTTCTGTGGTAACAAAAATAGAAATCCTTTCCCCCAGGAACTTGTCCTTCAACTTAAATTTTGGAGTCAAAGCATTTTTTTTATTTATTATTTTACATGTCGATCCCAGTTCCCTCTCCCTCCCTCCCTCCTTCCCTCCCTCCCTGCCTGCCTCCCTGCCTCCCTCCTACCTCCCCTCCCTCCCTCCTTCCCTCCCTTTTACCCTCTCTGCCCTCTCACATGCACCCTAACCACCCTCCCCTCCCATCCCCCCACCCCAATTCCATATGTAGGGGAATGCCATCCAGTTGGGGTCATGTAGATCTGACAGGTCATGTGAAGTAGGGATTAGGGCTTCTCTCCTGTCTCTAGATTAAGGCAGTTATCCCTCCATGGGGGATATGTTCGCAAAGTCCTTTTGTGCACCAGGGATATATCCTGGTTCCACTGTCTGAGGTCTCTTAGACTGCTGAGTCCTTCTGGCAGAGTAGTATTCCATTGTGTAGATGTGCCACATCTTCATTATCCATTCTTCATTTGAGGGGCATCTAGGTTGCTTCCAGGTTCTTGCTATTACAAATAGTGCTGCTATGAACATAGTTGAACAGATGTCTTTGTTGCATGGATGTGGATCATTTGGGTATATGCCTAAGAGGGGGATTGCTGGGTCCTGTGGTAAACTAATTCCCATTTTCCTGAGGAACCGCCATACTGATCTCCAAAATGGCTGTACGAGTTTGCACTCCCACCAGCAGTGGAGGACTGTTCCCCTTTATCCACATCCTCTCCAGCATAAGTTGTCATTGGTGTTTCTAATTTTAGCCATTCTGGCAGGACTAAGATGGTATCTCAAAGTTGTTTTGATTTGCATTTCCCTGATAGCTAAGGATGTTGAGCACTTTCTTAAGTGTCTTTCAGCCTTTTTGATTTCCTCTATTGAGAATTCTTTCTTCAGTTCTGTACCCCATTTTTAATAGGGTTATTTGGTGTTTTGTTGACTATTTTCTTGAGTTCTTTGTATATTTTGGAGATCAGCCCTTTGTCGGATATAGGATTGGTGAAAATCTTTTCCCAGTCTGTGGGCTGCTGTTTGGTCTTATCCACTGTGTCCTTTGCCTTACAGATACTTCTAAGTTTGAAGAGGTCCCATTTATTAATTGATGCTCTCAGTGTCTGTGCCCCTGGAGTTATGTTCAGGAAGCGGTCTCCTATACCAATTCATGAACAGATTTCTTAAAGAAAGTAAGGAAAGCCAAGAAAAAACAAGCAAACAGATGAAGGAAACAATAAAAAGAGTTCAAGACTTGAAAACTGAAAAAGAGAAAAGAAAACACACTGAGGGAATGCTGGAAATAGAAAAACTGGGCAAACAATCAGGAACTACAGATGCAAGCATAACCAACAGAATACAAGGGATCGAAGAGAGAATCTCAGGCACTGAAGATAAATTAAGAGGAAATAGAAATATCCACCAAAGAAAATCTTAAATCCAACAAATCCTTAACACAAAACATCCAGGAAATGTGGGACACCATGAAAAGGCCAAACCTAAGAATAATAGGCATAGAAGAAGGCAAAGAAGCCAAGCTCAAAGGTACAGAAAACACATTCAACAAAATCACTGAAGAAAACTTTCCCAAACTGAAGAAGGACATGCTTATGAAAGTATAAGAAGAATATGGAACACCAAATAGATTGGACCAAGGAAAAAAGACCCCTCACCACATAATAATCAAAACACCTAACATACAGAATGAAGAAAGAATATTAAAAGCAGCAAAGAAAAAAGGCAGACCTGACTTCTCCATGGAAAAATCTCAAGGCCAGAATGTCCTGAAGATGTTCTACAAGTACTAAGAGTCCACGGATGTCAGCCCAGATTACTATACCCAACAAATACTCTCAATCACTATAGATGGAGAAAAAAAAGATATTTAATGACAAAGCCAGATTTTCAAAATACGTATCCACAAATTCAGCCCTACAGAAAGTTCTGGAAGGAAAACTCCAACCCAAGGAAGTTAACTACACTCACAAAGACATAGGCAATAGATAATCCCATTTTACCAGAACCCAAAATAAAAAGTGGGGCAAATATACTCACTATACCACCACCAACAACAAATCTAAAACAAACAAGAATTAACAATCAATGGTCCTTACTTTCCCTCAAAATTAATGGTCTTAACTCACCTATAAAAAGACATAGGTTAACAGAATGGATACGAAAACAGAATCCATCCTTCTGCTGCATACAAAAAACACATCTAAGCTTCAAAGATAGACATTACCTCAGGGTAAAGGGTTGGGAAAAGATCTTCCAGTCAAATGGACCCAAGAAGCAAGCAGGTATAGCTATCCTAATATCTAACAAGTTAGACTCCAAACCAAAATCAGTCAAAAGAGATGAAGAAGGTTATTTCATATACATCACAGGAGAAATCCATCAACACAAAGTCTCAATTGTGAACATCTATGCCCCAAATACAAAGGCACCCACATTCGTAAAAGAAACACACTAAAACTCAAAACTCACAAAAACCTCATACACTCATAGTGAAAGACTTCAACAACCCACTCTCACTGCTAGACAGGACCACCAAACAAAAACTTAACAAAAAAAAAAAAAAAAAAAAAAAAAAGAACTAACAGAAGTTATGTTCCAATTGGGTTTAACAGAGAAACATTCCATCCAAACACAAAAGAATATACCTTCTTCTAAGCTCCACATGGAACCTTCCCTAAAATAGACCACATACTAGGCAATATGAAAAACCTCAACAGATAAAAAGAAAAAATTGGAATTGTCCCCTGTATCTTATCAGACCACCATACTTTAAAGTTGGAATTCAACAACACAAATCACAGAAACACTACAAACTCATGGAAACTGAACAACGCGCAATTGCACCATTCCTGGGTCAAGGAAGAAATACAGAAAGAAATTAAAGATTTCCTAGAATTCAATGAGAATGAAGACACAACATACCCGACCTTATGGGACATTTTGAAAGCAGTGCCATGAGGAAAGTTCCTTGCACTAAGTTCCCATATGATGAAAATGGAGGATAGT